TAGTCCATTTAGTCCTACATGTTTTTTTATAAACCAATTGGTCCTTTTTATTTGTAGTATCTATTATTGATTTGATTTAGTAATATTAGAGTTTACTTGTTTACCCTTGATTGAGATTTGGTGCTAATGTTTTGTTGGGATCTTGGTGGGCTTGGGTAAGGTATGGTGTAATGTTTTCCATTTTTTTAGGGGATTTTGTGGAGTAATTGGGGAGATGGGTGATGATGCCTTACGTGGTGTTACATCTGTTGATGTTGTATTGATTTGAGGGTTCATCAAGAAGGTGTGGGTTATTGCTCGTTTGTTGCGGTGGTCATTCTAATTGACAGAGATAGGTGTTGTGCGTTTGCCCAGGTTTGTTGTTGTTATTGTGGAGTTTTTGTTTTTGATGTGTTCGTATAGTTTTGTGTATTAGTTGTTCGTGTGTTATTGTGATGTATATATTTGGTGGAAACCCACGTAGTTTATGTCTGGTGTTAGCATGGTGATATGAACATTTACTTTCGATTTTTAATACATTGTTCGGTACAATGTTGCTGGTAATCTATATAATGTTTTGCTTATAATTTTTGTACAGTTTGGTATGTTTACGCCTACCGCAGGTTTATAACATTATGCCATTTGTTCCAGGAATGGAGTGTGTCATTTTGCCATTATGTACATTTGGCCAGACAAATACAGTTGCTCGTTTTCACCAAAATTCCACATTTGAACAGCCAGTTGATGGTGTTTGCGGCAAGTTTGTTAGGTTATTGCCAGGGCTGGTGTTTTTCTTGTTCAACATTCTAGGGTATAACAAGTTTAAGTTTGATTCTAATGACGATGTGAACAATATGTTTTCATTAGCGAAGTCATTCAGGTTGGAACATATTGACGTGTTACAGGTCGGTCATTAATGGCTGCGCTGCGGATTCTCGTACTGATGAGGTTGGCGATAACAATGATGGTAATAATTCAGATATGAAAGATCGAATGGATTTGTTGCCTTTGTATTGTACTCATAAATCGAAGATGTTCTTGTTCGCGGGATGGGTGTTTGGTATTACACATGTTGGACAATTTTTCGGTGGTGGGGCTAATGAATTTCAGATTATATTATGCAAATATGATATCGAATGCGGGTTTCAATAGAAGTACATTAAAAATGATTTTGTGCGAATCACAGTAGTGTTTAAGTTCGCAACGTCAACTGTCTGTCTTTGGTTGGTTCATGCCCGAGTGTCCGCATCCAACGGGATTTTGTGTTTGAAGAGGTTTAACAACTTACATTATTGTGGTGCTACTGTGAAGACGTACAGGAACCCCCAGGCTGGGTCGGATTTGATGCCCAATGTTATTGCCAACGGTGTGCGCGAACAACCGTTTACCTGACAGACAGACGTGGTGTTTGATATGAAAGACGGGTATGGATTGGACATTAGTTATCGTGTGGCGTGGTTAGGGGTGAAAAAAGCACGATCGGCAATTTATGACGATCATGCAATGTCGTTTGACTAACTCAGGTGGTACAGTGACGGCGTCATGGAAAATAACCCACACAGTTTCATTAATTTGGATTTCGAGCAAGAAATAAGGAGGTTCGTATGGCATTTTATAGCCTTTCGCGCATGCATGGATGGGTTCAAACATTACCATTGTGACAATCCTTACCACTGTTTACTGATTAACCATTGATTACTGCTAAACTGAGACTAAACATGTTAATTGACTGACTGACTGAAATCTGGAACTGATTGATTGTCTGTATCCGTTTAAGTGCATCTCTATCTGTACGACTGTTAAACTATTTGTTCATGTTTTATGTTTTAAACTGCAAATTGAAGGCCTTATCGGCGGCCGAATCTAAAATTGATTAGTGATATGTGTTAATCATAATTTATGTGATTTTATGGCATATTTATTTGAAATGTGATTTGGTATGATTAAATAGATTAAAATAAGTTAAATTACACAAGTTGCATTATTTATAACTTTGCCACTTAGTGGCCCACTTCATACCATATGTTGAGACTTGAATTATACATTGTGTAGCATCATTTCCTCAGCCATTCCTTGAGTCCTTAGCCGACTAGAGATAGAGAGAGTGAGGAAACTTGAGTTCAACAATTTTAGCTTGGTGATTTGAGGAAATTGAAGGTTGATTGCATGTTTGGACTCCTACATCTAGAATTGGAGACTTAAGGTAGAGATTATACCTTCTTGTTCATGTATTCAAGTTATATGTTGCATGGTTTATGGAAGTCTAGAGATTAAGGTCATGAATTAGCTTAATTTGTTGAATCAAAGCTTAATCTTTGCATGCATGGGCATATTCTTGCATTTTGAAGTTGTTCTTCACAAATTTGCCACATGCATGTTCATATTTTGAGTATAGTTCATGATTTTACCATGTTTTTGGAAGAATTAGCTCATTAGAGCATGTAATTGAAGCTTTGAATTGGTTTAAACTCATGCATGTCATGTTTGAGTTATGTTCTTGGAAATTGGTTTGAAATTGAGTTTAATTGAATTATCTTTGGGCTTTAATTTCTCAAATTGATCTTTGAAACATGTTATACTATGGGTTTTGAAGTGTTTTCCAGAAAATTAGCCCAAAAGGATCGATGTTATACTATGGGTTTTGAAGTGTTTTCCAGAAAATTAGCCCAAAAGGATCGAATTTGGTATATTGAAACTTGTTTTTGAGCTTGAGATTCAAATCTAGAAATTCCAGATTTTGGACTCACGCTCGAGCGGAGTGACTGGCGCTCGAGCGTGAAATTCGTGCATCCAGCACTTTACACTGTTTTACAGTCCGCTCGAGCGAGGTATTGGACACTCGAGTGAGGACTTGTGTCACACGCTCGAGCGGGTATCGAGCGCCCAATCGAGTGTGATTTTCACACATCCAATACTTTTACTGTAGCTTGCAGTCCGCTCGAGCGGATTGATTCATGCTCGAGCGGAGACCCTTGTCTGCATGTCTGCTCGAGCGGATATAGACACACTCGAGCGTAACTCCTATTTTTCAAAAATTCTGAAAAATGTTTTAAAGTGCATCCTTGCATCCTCATTCCATCCTAGGCATTCCTAGGCCTAGTTTAAGGCATTTTAATGAGGATATTGATGTAGAACTACACTGAGGCAACTAGGAATTTAGTTATTATTTTTCCAACTGTGTAGCTTAGTGTGTGTTCATTCTGCAACTGTGTAGGGTTGGCATTCGGAGACGCGTACTAGCTTATCTGTAGCCCAGAACTCTGTGAGTAACAATGTTATAAATATATGTTCGAAAGTAAATATTTTCTGAATGATCAACTGAACTGTTTTCTGAACTATTTACTGTTAACTGAATGAATGTTTCTCCTCTATTCTGAACTGTATTGTGGCATCCTTAGCAACTACTGTTACTGTTACAAAGATCTCTGCCAGTTCCTATTTTGGAACTTCTGTTTACTGTTACGATGGCCATTATTGACTGTTCGGTCTTTCAAGACCTACTATTTACTGTACTGTTCTGCTAATGGATGTACCACATATGACTGTTATGACTGAATGACTGATACACTGAATCAATTGACTGTTTTCAATACTGAAAGGACATTCATTCTTAACCTCTTTACGCATTATGTTATTCACTGGGCTTTAGCTCACTGCTCATATATATATATATATATAGGTGTACAGGCACCAGACCGGAGCTAGGAGCGTGGGTTAGACTCATTTTTGTCAAAGCCAACCACTGTGTCTCACTGCGAGGTTCCGAGCCTATCAAGCTAAGGCTTCGGGGAACTTAGGCCTCGTTTGGCAAGAGGCTATTTTAGCCAATTAGCCAAAAAGTTACTAAATTAGCCAAAAAGCCAACAACTCATACCAAAAAGTCAAAGATTCTCTTTTCTCTCTACTTTTTGCACATCTTTTCGTAATTAGCCAAAAAGTCATCCCAAACATACAAGTTTTTTTTACCTACCTTTTTAGCCAAATAGCCAAAAAGTTACTAAATTAGCCTGTTCCCAAACGAGGCCTAAGTCCCTGCCCTAAATGATTGTATATATTATACATACTGTTTTGGTGCTGATTGTATATGTGTATATGATATGAAAAGTCTTTTTGTATACAGACTGTCATAGCTCATTGGACATCTTTTTTTACTGTTTTGGCTTCCGCCAGTCCCTGTACTCTGTAATTCTGTTTGACTGTTAAGCAGGCCTTCGGTAATCTCGGATTACTGGTCGGTTACGGTGCTAAACCCATAGGGGCAGGTTTGGGTTGTGACAACCGTCCACTTTTATTCCTCGACGGGATGTGCCTAAAGGAACTTTGCTTGTAGCCACTGCCAAGGATGGCAACCAAGGTCTGTATGTTTTATGTTACATTGTTGTAGCACACGTGCACACTTCAACGTCACCGCTAAAGGTCAAAAATCAGGTCTTGATTTACACTGGTTTAGTAGTTTTTTCAAAATTTGTGGGCCCAAACATAACATGTTCCCAATATGTTGTGCTAATGTTAATTCACAGGATTATTCCCAGCTGCCTTTGCTGTTGTTGATGCCGAGAATGCATCTAATTGGGAGTGGTTTTTGCGTCAATTAGTCAAAGTTATAGATGGTAGTAAGACGTTGACATTTGTGTCTGATTGCAATGCCGGTTTACTCCACACGATGCCTATTGTCTTCCCGACAGCACACTACGCATTCTGTTTGTTACATCTTCAAATGAACTTGAGAGATCGTATGAAATACGTAAACGCTGAACGAAAACTCGGGCTTACACGCAAGTTACGAGAATGTACCTATGCACCTGTAGTGGTTTCATTCAACCACAACATTGAGCTATTGAAACAATGTAACCCAACTATTGTTGGTAATTTTTAAAAGATTTGCATCCACAACATTGGTCAAATGCACATTTCAAGTAATGTTTCGTAACGACCCCTTGCACAAATTTTTTCATTGAATATTGTCTTCGTACACCAATAGCATTTTTCTACATTTTGCCAAGGGCCGGAGATATGGTGAGATGTGCTCCAATGCTACCGAATCACTCAACAACTGTGTTCAGAAAGCTCGGTATCTACCCATTACTCAGTTGGTGGATGCGATTAAGGGCCAAATCATGGAGCAGAGGTCTAAACGTAAAGTTAAATCCAGTGTTTGGGTCGGGGAGCTTTGCCTGAAGATGGCAAAGGTTTTGGAATCGGCGTACAATGACAGTAGGTCGTGGATTATTCGTCAGTTCAAGGACAATGTGTTTGAGGTTCGTTCACACCTATCGGTGTTGGTCGATTTTGGGGCATGTACGTGTTCATGTTTCCAGTGGCAATTAAGTGGATTCCCATGCTCATATGCGGCTATAGCTTTCCAAAATAGTAGTAAGAACATATATGACTTCATTGATTCATTTTACTATGTGCACGAGTTTAGGGCGGCGTATTCTGGGGCTAATCACCCAATTCCTACAATAAGGAAACCAAATTTGGCAACAATGGATTATCTCATCGCACCACCTATTTTTAAACGCCCACCTAGAAGGTCCAAACAGAAATGGGTGTTGTCCAAAGGTGAGGTGGTTCAACGGATTCAATACGGCCGTTGCGGTAAAATGGGTCATCATAATAGGAAAACATGTGAGGAACCAATGTAGCGTGGTGGACATGTATGGCGGTTCTACTTCGCTGCCAAACTATCGTAGCTAATTCACATCCCTTTATTTTTCATTTGCGTTCAAATTTATGTTCATGTTATTAAATCGTATACGTTAATTCACAATTACATTACATTTGCGTTATTTCCCAATTTGCAACGTCGGCGCTATAAAATAAATGTGGGTTTCCCATTTTTTTTTTTGGTGTGTGTATCAGCTTATCATGTTCGTACCGTACAATTTACCACATTCTTAACGTGAATGTTATCCATTTGTTTTTTGTACGACACTTGGTTTTGCATGTCACGACAAAATGTTTTATAACATTATGAAAACATCCACCAAACCAATGTAGGATGGTGGACATGTATGGTGGTTCTATTTCACTGACAAATTATCATAGTTAATTCATAGACCTTACTTTCTGATTATTTGCACATTTGTGTACATGTAATTACATCATATATGTTACTTCAAAATTCCAATACTCTTGCTTTATTTCACAATTTGCACCGTACACACTATATACATAAATTTTTTCTCCCAAATGGTTTCCATTTGCCTATCAACTTACCATGTCCATACCTTACTAACTATTTTATTAAGTTTGCAGTGTACTAATTGCATTTTCTGGTGCAAGTATTGTGAGATTTTGTACATTTTTAAGATAAACCAACTTTGGGTTTCGACACACATTCGACTTCCGGTCACAAATTTAAGTCAATCAAACTACATACCAGCATTGTTTTTTCCCAATAGGTGTGACACCAACGGATACTAACGCTTACCGTCCGGTGTTTTCCTGCTCACATTACCTTATGATGTGTTTAGCACATAATGGAGTGTTGGGTTGGACGTGAAATATAACAACTAAACTTCACTTTCCGTTGGGGAAAAGTGTTTAACCAAATTAGGGAAACATGCAACCAAACCAATGGGTTATGCTGGCCATGTATGGCTGTTCTACCCAAACAATATTCATACAATTCACCTAAGAATCTTGACACAACGAATACGCAAACTGACATCATTTCATAACGACATTACACCTTATAATTAATAAAATACCGTTCCCAAGTATTGACCGAACTTCAAAACACTGTTCAAGCAAAATAACGTATCCATCTCCAAAACAATACTAGCAAAAAATAATCTCAATCGTTCACCACTCAAAAAACTGCCTAAACAAATCAACAACCAAACATCTGGCTACTATTACCATTCAAACATAAATCATAATAAGTGTCACCACTAACACTAAAATACTGAGTCCTGGGTAGAGCCAAACACATTACTTGATTCGTGCACGCAACCCTTTTGTTGGGTCATTGATGAACGTCCTCACCATCATTGCGTGCATTGCATTCGGGGTTAGTCCGTCCATCAAAGCGTCAACTTGAATGCCCTGAACATTTTGATGAAACAAACTATAATCGCACAGTCCGACCTGTACTGCAAAATAATTGTCAACGCGCATAATTTAAGGCAGTCCAACACAAGTCATACTAAACATAAAAATTAGTAAATCATAAATGGCATCCACAAATCTTACAAGTCCGAACCCTACTATGAACAATCCAATGCTACTACCAGCGGTCCATCAAAATATTCCATTTTTAGCACTATCATCTACCACCCTCGGGCTGACAAACCTATTGTGGTGGTCAACCACCCACTGTTTCTATCAACATCACATCACAACCACTTAACAAGTTATTACGTATCATTTCCTAACATAACGTTACCAACAATGCATAAAACATTACTAATCCAATACCAACAACATCCACAAAATACTAATTACATTCAAATACTACTTACCACTTTTAACACCTTATTATAATGTTCATCTTGCACGCCTCGTCTCTGTTTCAAAGAATTGTAATGCTTCCACGTTCTGGCCTCCACGTCGTGCACCATCATAGTCCAATGCTTCGCATGATATATTGGGTAATGTATGTGTCTGTGTCCTTTAGCAGCTTCGATGTGCACATTCAAATATTTTGTCCTCGAAATTGCACTAGGATTGCGCATCATGTCCTACAAACCATGCTAAAATGTGAGTTCAAATTACATACTTCAACTGTGACTGGGGGTTGTCTAATGGGATGTGAGTATGTTACAGAGACAGTTCGACATACCGAACATACGATACTGTACATGTACGATGTGTCTCATGTCTTGCCTTCTACTACCAACTCCTTCTGCATATCCATCATCACACAACGATACCCGTCGATCACCTGCACCATACCATTTATCATAAATAGTTAAGTTCACCATTTGAAACTATAACATCAAATGACCTACAACATCAACCTACTCAACTAACCCATAATGTAAAACTTTGATTCCAAAACAAACTTATGTTCCCGTATATTGAACCTTGTTTGACCAAATCTCGAATGTCTGGAAAAAGAACTTGGATTCCATTCTCTACATCGTCCCAAATTACACTGCTACAAACAAGTGATCACCATTACTTTTATTGCTACAGTACGACAGTTCTAACACATTACCAATCATACATTACAAAAAACCAAACACCATAACTCACCTATCACTGTCCAAGCCGTATGCATTTTCGACCAATTTCCTTTCGTCATCGCTCAACAAATTTCAAACTTTATGTTTTCTGTTCATACCAAACCCATTCCATGTCTTCCGTTCCATGTCCACATCGTCTATGTTGTATATTACTCTAGCTTCAATACCCTTACTAATCGACGGCCTTGCATTCTGTTTGTTACACCGGAAAATCCTGATGTACTCATAATCATATAGTTTGAATTCCCACCTCGGCTTGTTCTTCACTCGTTTCACCAACGATGTAATCATTGGTTCAGCTCTGCATTACACTCTTGCCTCACTACCTCCACTTACTATACAGTCAAAACACCACCATCTTTGCCCAATACCGGATGCGTAACAGTGAGGTGTTCTGTTTTACCCGATGATACACCAAATCCACATCCAACAACACTCCTCACATCAACACCGTCCATAACATCCACCTCTTCCACGACTGCACCATGTTCGTTTGATACATCCTTCCTAACTGACTGTGTGACTTGATGCACCTCACGATTGTCAACTTGATCTTCCAAATTTCTAATTGTTTATTTCTATTGACCTACCACTGTGTTCAGACATGCGATTTTAGCGTCCTTGGCAACTATAGCACTTTCGAACCTAATTAAAAGATTTATAGCCTGCGCACCAAGAATCCTTTCCATTAACTCCATCTTACCCTCCAACTTACGGACAAGTTCAAACTTGCCTCTCAATTCGTTTTCCAGCTTTTCAGTTCGACACAATGCTATGCTGAGTTACTCGTTGGCTCCATTTCTGTCATTGCAAATTGCGTTACCAGCAGGTGTGCTTGACAAGTGCAGAAGGTTCGGCAACAATACTGGCCACGTTTCCCCTGCTGCTAGTGTTTCATCAGACTCCTTCATCTCATAATCAGGCAATCCACTCCATTTAACATCCGAGCTGTTAACTGGTGTACCGTTCGGCACGTTATCCAATTTTAATTCAACATTCCCTCTAAATGGCGAATCAGGCTGCCAACAGTCAAAACTTGGTTCTACATCATTCCCCCCTTCAATACGCACATCAGCCCCGCCACTAGGCCACAAACTTAGTGGATCAACCTCCAATATTACTGTCTCATCTTTGTTTGTCGTATCTATGGCCATCATCGACTTAACAAAATAGCGTTCCATGGCCGTTGCAGCAAGTTTCCCACAATTCACCTGTAACAGACCCCACACGTCACAACAACATTTAATGAAATACGTATGGACTAAGCATAGTAATCCAATCTTTCATACCTCAATGCAACCCTCCGCTGCTAAATTAGTGGATTTAAGCTTGACAGCTAAAGTTGCGAAGTTCCATCTGCAAAACTGTGGCAACACATTACGCCGCTCTAGTTCCAGTAAAGTTATGTGTTTGCAAATGAGAAACTACAACCATCAAACACAAATACATGCAGTTACACAAAACAATCAATAACTATATAGCGTATGCACGTAAAACATTAAAAGAATAGAGTTTCGCAATGTCGTACTAGCAATTCCACAACACATCCGGTAACCTTTTCTAGTTTGTTGTGCAACTCATTCAACGAACCAACCAACGCATTACGTATTGCTGCTACCCAGTCGTACGAACGCAACGTCTCCAGCTTGTCAATTACACGGACAAATGAACAACTAATGGACTCACCCGTGTTAGCAAAAAATAGCTTCGCACATATTTATAGACAAAACAATTTTGTAACATCTTCTCATCTCATTCAGCCTTGCCATGCTCTGCTTCTAGTAATAAATCTTTTATCACTTTTGAAGAAATCTGGCTGACATTGGGGCAACGACGCTGAATAAAATCATATGGCGCCTTCACACTCGACGAAAAATCCACCGTCTCCTTCCCATATTGAATCCGTAATAGTAATCGAATGTCGTTGTTTCGTACCGGTAGACCAACTCCCCCAACGTATAATTTCTCATTTACAGGATTGTATGTCTAGATTACATAACACACCGTTGTATCACATTTTTTAAATGCCTTCAGATTGAGTTTATGTACACGGATTGTTTCTATCATCAGCCAAAATGGTGTCTTCTGCAATTATCGAATATGTCTCGCAATGAACTCTAACTCTAGAACAGGTTCAATCACACCCACAACATTCAACCGATACATAAGCTTAGATGTATTGACTTTATTTTTCCTCCTATGGACGACACTCATCTTCTTCTTCTTAAATGTCAGTTGTGCTTGTCTTCTTGGTGCCATTCTAGTTGATGTTTGCACCAACAACGGTGAACGCCGTGCGCACCACCCACACCGGTGTGGCGAACCTTCCCGTCCTGCGTTACCTGCCACATCAATCACAACACCACATTCAAACGAACTTCATTTACCAAAAAAAAAAAAACAATCCATCATTCGGATTTTCTTAACACACTGCACAACATAATTAATCCAAC